GACTAATTTGATGGTGACCAAGATGAATTCCCATCTATAAATGTAACTGGTAGAAAAAGACGCCATAATTTTCATGTGATCGTTAAAAAACAACAACAAAATTGCTATTTAGAAATTCAAAATAGTTGGAGAAACATAAAGAGATACTATTTGGTTTGTGATACACTAATCCTAAAAATGTCCTATTATTCTGTCATGCTTTTCCTCTTCAGACATCTTGCATTTTTCTTCCTATCTGTTCTTCCATAACTTCCCCACCTTTAGCTTATAACTCTGCTTCTCTGCAGCTAATATCAACTTGAGAAGCATTCTTTTCTATACTTTCTGGCTTTTCTGACCAACTTGAAATCTCAGGATACTTTATCTTCTCTTACTATAACTTATTTCAATAAAGGTTTATTTCTTGTTTGGCAATAAATCTTAATTCTCCTCTTGTTCTGATACCATTAGGATAATTTTCAGCAAAAGCTTTACCTTTATGAGTAAACCCAGACAAATATTTCCATGCAATTTGATGAAAATAGGGACTGTAAACTGGACTGTTTGGGGCATGTTTTTACAACTGTATTTTGTTACAATTTATTTATTTTCAGCTAATTCAAATATAATTCAAATGCTGATGAAAGAATCTGTTCTCTCCATCTTTGTAAGATGTGCGGTGATGGCACAGGGGGGAAGAGAGAGAGGGAAGTGGAGGGGCAACAAAAGGGAAACAACAACAACAGCAAAGCAAACAAACAAAAAACAAAATTCACTAGAGATGACTATCACAGCTGACATGATGTGGTTTCAGAGAACTTTCCAAACCTATTGCAGTCCACTTAAATATATATATATATGTATGTATATTCAATATATTAATAATATGAATCAACAAAGACTCATATAGAAGAAGGACACCAAACACAATGAACAGACGGTTTGTATTCTAATTTCTAATGATATCAAACACAGGCTGAGAAGTTGTGATGTGGGAAGCTTATTGTTTTGTTGTTGATGTTTTAATAAACAGTTCTTCTAGAGACTATAAGTCATTAGATCGAATTCTATCCAAATACAACAACCTAACCTGTTATTGCTAGAAACAATGAAAATTCCCTTATTCTTTGTTTTGATAAGGATCAAAAGCAAGCGAAGGGAATGGAGTACTCATATTTTAATTCTTAGTTAACTCTATAATATGTCTGAAAAGATTTTGATTTTGTTTAAAAAAAAATAATATTAATTAAAAGTAGAATTATAATTTTTAGGTAATAAATTGTGGTTACATGCAAATGAGAATTATCTCTTGCATTTCATTCAAATAGCCAACATTTCAAAATTTTAAAACAAGGACATGAAAACTAATATAAATACATGTAAATATATAAAAAACAGATGACTTAGCAGCCATTTGTTCTTGTATTTATGTATTTAATATACAATCATCTGCACAATGTTATTTTATGAGCACCCTAATAATGTCTTCCAGCCATCATGAAGCACCCAAACTAATTGACTACTAGCTCTGGTTCCATTTTTGTCTCTGACTATGAAAATACAAAATTTTAAGAAATATTTTAAAAAATGAAAATTAACATATTTTTAGTTTTTTTTTTTTTTTTTTCTTGTACAAACATGTCTTGTCAACAGAAGATACTGTTATTCAAAAAGCACTTTCTGTATAATCTTAGCTCACCTCTGTGGGTTACATGAGACAAATCAATTTTCTTCTGATTTCTCTCCTAACTGCTCAAAAAGTAAGTATGTATAATTTAGTGAAAACAGGTTTCATTTGATTTTCAGCTGAGGGAAACTACATCTCTCCTGGTTGAGATTGTTTTTGCAGTTTTTTTTAACTTCCCTAATTAACTGAAAAATATTGGGAATAGTGTAATTTTGTCTTCTTAATAAATAATAAAAGAGGTTATTTCTTCCCTGAGTTCTAAGTGCAAGTCTTGTGCCATTAACAAAAATAAGGCTGACTTTCTGTCCCTGCAACTTGCAAAACCACACAAACCTGCAAACAGGCACTGTGATGTGTACAAGTACAAAACTACAAGGAACAACTCTGCATTTTTAAATGTTAAGCAGCCTTGCAATCCTGCTCTCAGAGTAAATTCAGTCCTCTAAGCAACGCCATCTGGCAAGTATGGAGACAATTGACAGTGTTTGCTCATAAAAACTGAGCTCAGCCCACTTCCTTGTTTCTCAGGCCCTGACTTACTATTTTCCCTACAGCTGAAATACATCAGCCGACTGAAATTCTGGGCCAGATTCTGAATTCTGCTGAGATTTCTTAAGTAGCTTCTTGGCAACTGCAGTGGAAGAGGATGAAGAGGTGGTGGTGGAAACATGGATTAGGGAAAAGTAGAGCAAGGGCCAGCAGCAGTAGGATGACTGCAGAGTCTGTAAGAAGGCTGCTGTCTATGGTATTAGTTTCAGAACCCCCACAGTTGCAGTGAAAGAAGCAGCCTTATCTCTCTTCATCAGGGTATAATGTTGCAAGTGCCTGTGGTACAACTGATAATGTTTAGGTTTGCATATTATAAATAAATAAATAAATAAATTATTCTATTGGAAAGTCAAGATCTACAGCAGTTGACAGTAAGATAAACAGCATTCATTCAAATGAGATCCTCTTGTGACAGTGGAGTTACAAAGCTGACAGTGGAGTTACAAAGCTACCATAGATGTATGAGGTTTTTTTTATTAACAACTTGTGGACCTACATCAGAGTAAAGTTAAGAGAGTTTCACAGTTTCAGGGAAATATAACTGCTTATTTTCCTCCCACCATTCATTCTACCACCAGAAGCTCTCCAGTTGACACAAATCTAACAAAACATAGGGAAATAGAAACATCTGCAATTAAAAAAAAAAATTAAAATTAAAATTAAAAAAAAAAAAAACAGAGAAAAGAGAGAGAGAAAAAAAAAAAAGTGTTTCACAATCTAGCAAGACAGTATACACTGAGAAAAGCTGACAATGATCAATGATGCCACAAATGAAAAATCATGCAATCACAAGTAGTATTCCCCTCCCCCCCTGCCACTGCACAAAAGGCTTAAGTTATTGCACTTTTATTCTAAATAACAAATCTGAAAGTTTTATCATGCCTTATTCACACCAACACTTAATTGATCCTGCATTCATTACACCATACAAAATGACATGCTTCCACGTCCTTGTCTGATGACAAATTACTTTGAATAAGTATTGCCAAAAGCTGAAAATTCAAAGCTCATGCTGAGCAGTTGTCAAATAATATGTTAGAACTTTTTTCACCCTTTTATGCTTTCGCAACCTTGAGAACCAGAAGTATTCTTTTATGAAATGAGCTGATATTCTAATACCATACAATGGTTTAAAATTAAGACCTGCAGAAAAATAAATATGAGAATCTTCATATCTTAAGACAATCTGTGAAAACTATGCAACATAAGATATTTTATTACTATTATTATGATTCTCCTGTTTCAGTTGAAAGCACAGTATAAGGCTTTTCAGTAAACATAGAACTGCTCATTAAGACACCCAAAATATATAATACTGCATAATCAGACTGGTAACACAATTGCATAGGATGGCTTACATTTTTTGAATGGATATACTGACCCGGCTTAACAGGGGTACAGGAAGACCAAGTGGGAAAGCAGAATATATTTAGACAACCAGTCTCAACTATCAGACACTAGCTCTCTTCCAAGCTTTATCTCTATGTTTGGTCAGATCTTGAAACCTGAAGATACAGATTGATGAGATCTAAACTAATTTGATATCTTAGTGTTTAATATTCAGCAAGTTAACTCCTAACCTTTTTTAAGTACAACCTAACTCAGAAAAATAGCTAACTGAGGCTGCATGAACAGCCCACAGAGTTGGACATGCCTCTTCTGCTTGAGTACCACTGAATTTGATCCAAACCAGAAAACATCTGAAGCAGAGAGCTACTCAAAACCAGCAATGTGTGCAGGAACCCACCTATCCATAGCAAGACACTGTGGAGAGAGAGTAGACTCAGAGCTGAAAGATAATATAATACTAAACTCACACAGCATCCTGTCTTGTGAAGAACTGATGATAGAAAGTCCTTTTTCCTGTGTATTTGCATGGGTTGGGGTTCAGTTTTGTTTTCCACCTGGAGCCCAGATTCCAGAAGGAAGGTGGTGAGTGACCTTGTCTCTTTAACAATACTTACATTTTCCTGGAAGACGGAATCACTTCATTGTGAGGAGGGTGTGGATGTATTTATTTATTTATTCTTATTTTATCAACCTGTTCTGAAACTTATCCCCTGGCATCTAAGTTCTCCATGAATCACCTAGATCCATCCGCACAGACATGCCACTAGTTCTACATAGGGCGCTGAGCACCCTGAAGTCAGGTGTTAAAGAAAAACAAAGGCCTGTATTTGGAATGCTTTTATAATATCAAAAGAAAAAAATATATATACCACTAGCAATGAATGTAAGAATTATCTAAGTGTTCTTCACCTTCCATACAATGTTTTCTGGCTCAGAGTTCACAAGAAAAAAAATCATTCAGAACTGTGTTTTACATGGAAGGGGGCATTTTAACACACTGTTGAGATTATTTCTCATTATGAATGGAGATTGGAATGAGGTCACTTTTACCCAGAGATCATTCCAGTTATCCAGACTTTATTAACCCACTGCAACTAACCAGAAATTATCCATTATTTCAGCAGCTCATAACTAACACATTCAGAGCAGCTGTTCCTGGAATGCTCTTTGTTGACAAACGTCAAGGAGTTGAAAACTTTCATTTCACTTCCAGATGCTTTGAATTGTCAGCAAGTTTTCATCCCCTAGCCTTACTTCAAAACTCATCATCTTTGAAACAAACATTTCTAGCAAGTCCGCTTATTGATACTTTCCTTATTGTGGCTTGCTATACATCTTTCTCTCTCTTCTTCTTCATATAAACTGAATACAAATTGAAATTGTCACCTCCTTTTGAACCAACAGATTAATTTCTCCTATTGTACTGTTTTTTAAGGGAAACTTGCCAGGAGGGGAAAAAAAAAAAAAAAAGAAGGCTGGTAGCAAACACTTATTCAAATACTGGCAAAACATCTGTGAAACAAATCTTTAGCTGGAAAGAAAAAAGGTATGTTTTCTTAAATTAAAGACCTTGCATTGTGCCTGCTGTTCCATTAAGTCATTCTAAGTTTACAGAATATCAGCTCCCACAGCAGGGCTGTGAGTTTAAGCTGGCATCAGAAAGCTGTCATGACAATTGAAATTCAATCTGAGAAAGAAGTACCCCAGGATCCTGAATCATGTAATCATTCCTTCCCACCTTCTAAAGTATTCTGAATTGCTAATCTTGTTTTGCTGAGCTAAGTCAACAATGATGTCTTTTATTTGTCAAACGTCATCATTTGCACTAAGACATAGCCTGAAAACAGAAAAGGAAAATAGCCATACATATCCCAGAGGGCCTCATTATCTCATGCTCTTTGGACAGATAGAGTAAGCTGCTGCTAGTTTTACATCCTACTCTGAAAGCCTCCTGGAAGGAGGTGGCGTCTCCCTGAAATTAAATCATCACAGCAGAACCAAGGCTAATGTAAACTCTATGCACTCTGCTGGAATTCCTGGCCAAGAGTGATAGGCAATCTGTCTATCCAGTAGTCTTCAGAAGTTTGCGCTGCCTTCTCATGCAATCAAGGATACACAAGCTCATCCCCTTTCACAATGACCCACTACCAACTTATTTTTCCTTGGTAAACAATATTAATGATGACTGCACTAAATACAGTCTAAGACTAAGGAATGATTCTTGATGTTAAATGCAAAGTTCTGAAACAAGTTGCAAAACGTCAGTACTCATGCTAGTACTTATCCATGTCTTATGTCATAGAGAGTGTGAGAAACAGAAAGAGCTGGAACTATCTTCAAGCTGACAGTGCTAGATAGTTCCTCGCTAGCCTGTCTGAGATGCTAGAATAAAGGTGCACTAATAGACCTCTATTTCTCTTTTTATTTTATTTTATTTATTTATTTATGTTATTGATTTATTTTTTTCTTTAATTAATTAAATAAATAAACTAACATTACATTTATTTTTCCTTTTGGAACCTAGACACATCCTTTAGAGTGAAGATGAAGTGACTGTGGACAGGAATGAAGTACAATCACAGTTTACATGTGCTAAAACAGCATCCAAATGCACCAAAATGAGGTTAAAGCATTTTAGCATGTACTTATGCTCTCAAGACTATGTCAAGAGATAAGACAAAGGAACAATGGGAAGGCATGAAAAAACTTGCCCAAACTTACACAAGTTACTGGAAGAAAAGCACATCGAACCACATCTCCAGATTCTCAGCCTGCCATGTTAACTAGGAAAGAATACTGCTTCCCGTTTAACACTTACTTTCTGTAAATGTTGTATTTAATTTCTCTATCTTTCTGTCAACAAATAGTAAATGACATATTGTTCATAGGAAATTATAAAGTATATTGTGTACTTTAAGTATACATAATCTACAGAAGTACATTAAACATCATAATTTAGTGTTTGCCATTTAGTTCAGTACTTCCAAGAAACAGAGAAAGTGGTTTACAGCTAAGCAGAAATTCATCAGAGTTTAACTTCCCTCTGAAAGAAAAATATTTCTGTTTCCCTTCCTAAATACACTTCTCTCACTATTATGTTTCATTCAGCTCAGCTTCTGAGTTTATTGGTTGCCTGGATTGGAAGTTTTGAACTAAGTTCTGAGAAGATAGATTCAGAATTACAAAGCAGTGCCATACCAGCTTCATGTAAACTGCACTCACAGGAATCCTTGAAGAGTTTACATTTTCCATACATTCAAAATAATTATAACAATAGAAAAAAAATAAAATCAGAACCCATCCTCCCCCACATATTTTATTTTTTTTTAATTATGATATGAACAAATACCGCACTGTGGTTACACCTAAACCCTTTCCTGGTAAGGATTGGTCATGCCTGATGTTTCTAATTAACAACATTCTTTCCATAACTTTTTTTTTTTGTGTGTGAAAATTCATGAAAGTCTTAAATCAACAGTCTCTAGTCTTAACTACAACATGGATTTGATTTTGTTCTGTCATGCTATAAAGATTGGCAAGTGACTCTAAGAACAAATCTGTAGCGATAAATTTTCTTTCAACAACCAGTACTGCAAGGGTACCCATAAATGAGAAGTTTTCCTTGTCAGAGGTAGACATTTCTTCTTATGACAGTTATCTCTCATTTTAAAATACTTAAAAATTGTATTTTGAAGCTATAATTTAAATGGGTAGAGGTTGTTTTTTTGTTTGTTTTTTTGTTTTGTTTTGTTTTTTAAAAAGGTTGAAGATAAAAAACACACAGTTTAATTGAGTTCATTGACTAGCTTCCACTGCTAGGCACTATCACATAACTTTTTCGAAAGACTTATAATAATGAGAGTTTCATTATAAAAGGTTCAAAAGACATAACCAAAATGGATATACTTTTATGATAACAAGACATATTGTCATTAACTATAAACAATGTCAATAAAAGCAGTATCTCAGCCATGTAAATTCAGAATGTATACATTTCTTAAATTTTACTTACCAGAAACTGATTTCCACAGCACATTTTAATTACTGTTATTGCAAAATGTAAAATTATTTTGTGCCAGTTCTTTTTTTTTCAAATTCAGTTCTTCTGATTCAGTATTTTTAAAAATTTGTATTTATATAAAATATTACATAATAACTTGCAGTGCAGTATTCTTTTCTGAGCTTCTCTACAGCAGAAGATACCCCTTCAGAATTTTAAAGAAATGTGTGTTATCCTTGCAGCTTCAACATAAGCCAGAGAGGGCTAAATTTTTAAGAGAAATAAAACCAAGAAATGCATTTAGAAACATTAATGGTTTTATGAATGGCATAAAATCAACAGGAAAAGAAGCTGCAGTGAGTTTAAGTAACACTAGGAGTTCCCTGAAAAATGTCTAAAATTGTAGAATCCATAATATTCAATTTTCAGCCATTTTGAAAATTATCCTTCAAACTTTTGTGATTGTGAGCAATCCTTACTTATTTGAGTAAAGCCATTCATGTTAATAGCCATATGCACATGTATAAGGATTTACAAGATCAGGGCCCAACATGACAACTGGTTATCCTCTCTGTAACCCCAAATATAAAAAAAAAATACTGTTGTGCAACACTTAGTATAGCCCGAATGAATTCACATGTTTTGTTTAGTTTTGTTTGGTTGGTTTTTTTTGTTTGTTTGTTTTTTGTTTATTTTTGTCTGATTTCAGTGGGAACAGTTAGGCCTTAAAAAACAGAAACAAAAAGATTAAAAAAATTACATCAAAGAAAGCTGAAGTAAACACAATATGTTTCGATAACAATTATCAACTTCCAAAAGCTGAAACGTACTCAGATTACCGGAGAAAATATCCAGTGTCTCACTTTAGAGTTGCTACGCGAAGAGAGCTATTGGTAAAGTACATGGTTAATTACTGTCAAAAAAAAAAAAAAAAAGTAATTTTTTTTTTTGAGTAAAAGTAAGGTTGTTTTGTTTTGTTTTGTTTTAAGTAAGTTGGTGTCTTGTTTTGTTTTTTTTAAGAAAGTTTTTTTTAAGAAAAGCTTTTTTTGAGTTTTTAGTGATTTTGTTCATTTGTGGTCAATTATTTTTGGATTCTGGTTTGCCCATTTTATACAAGTTGTGCCTTATTTTTGTATACAAAATTAAAAAATTATATACCTGTTCACTGGATTTCAGAGTCTGAATCCATTGTGATTTGGTTTTGAACAATAACTATATTAATTGATGTTAGTTATTAATGTGTGAAATAACCTCTTCTGTAGTTCTTAATATATTCTGCAGAAAAATTATCACATTATAAAATAAGAAAAAAATCACTGGAGAATTTTAGGAGACATACATCAACTGAGAAAAGGGTTTGGTCATCCCTTTGTGTACCTCACTAACTTCTCTTCCAGAAGTTTCAAAATCTACAGATTTCAGCTCAGATTTTTAAAAGCAGATTGTCTCTTTCACACATACAACAGCCAATTTTCCCTGGACCCAGATGCTTATGGACCTACATTCTAACAGAAGAGGAGGTTCGTGTAAGGAGGACCACTACTACCTAATTAGGAGCTGCAGCTGCACTGTGTACAGTTCTCCAATTAAGTGCCAGTTAGACTCTACGAGTATCTTCAAATGACTGTAACTATATAGTTCCCCAGATAACTGGGGGGAACTTATGCCAGCTAAATAAGGGAAGTCATGCAGAATTTGCTTCTGTGATACAAAGATGAAAATTAAGTAAACAGAAGCATGCAGAGTATTTTCTTACTAGTATCTTTCGGAAGACTACCTGAATTAGATATTCTTACTTGAAATCATGTGGGCACTTTTAAAATTAATGAGTAATTTTGAAGCTATGAAGACTCATAGTGAATTTAAAACCTTCATTGCTCTCCACAGTTTTATTTTTAACATCAGTTTAAAGTTTCTAGTTTAGTTTAGATAATCCCCAGGCTCTGGGGTTTTTCAATTGGCACAAAAATGCAACCTCATCTCAGATGACATTCTTCAGTTTTACAGTTATCTATCTGTGTTGTCCTGGGAAAGAGGATTCAAACACCTATCATTAGGAAAACCCTGAGATCAGTCACACAGGGTGTTCTCTCACTCCCAAGTAGTTCCCAAGCACAGATCAAGAGTTAGGACTGGCCATTCCCAAAAGGCATGTTTCATATGAGAACTATGTTTTGCAGGTTTCAAGATTTAAATGCCATGAACATGGGCTGTACACATTAGCTGAACCTTTAATGCCAGAGACCAATGCAGAAACATTTAATTTACAATAGACGTAACCTCTGCTTGCTGCTTTGAACTGACCCTAAATCCCCTCTTTGTTGTGGCCGGTATTTTCATAAGTGGTCCCAACTCAGTGCTAGGTGGTGTCATATTTTACAACATGAGGAAGAGTTAATATCCCTGAGAAAATATGGTTTAGCTGAGAGTAAAGCAAACCAACCTGTAGTAAAATGCCATTAACAACACAGCAAAATTAAGCATAAACTTGGTCCACTAAGTTATTCTTTCAGATTTTATTATAATGTTATTCTGTCATATTTAAAACACACAAAACACATCTCTGAAGCAAAGTTTCTGAAAAAGAAATTGGACTGAATTTACTAGATCCCTTTACCTTCTCCTGTTGTTGATTAGGCCAATGAGACATAAAATGGTTATAAATCATATTAATCAGAGTTAAGTACTGAAAGGGGGCTCTAGCACGTGCAAAAATCTTAGATTTTACTGTGGCTTTGGTCTGGTTCCTGTTCTCACCAGAACCTTGAATTTCAATGATAGTACGTTTGATTTTCTTCTGTCATAAACAGTACTGGGACCTGCCAATACACAAACCAGGGAAAAGAGTAGAACCATGAAATTCAGCATTCATTACATTACTACTCTTTCACTTGAGACAAGAATCTTTAAACTCTTGACTCCAAAAAGCTCATACTTAAATACATTCAGAACATTGAAGATTCCTGGAGTGGGCAAAACCCAGTGGCTGGATGTTAATAATGACCCCACCACAGTGCCACCAAGGACTTTTCAAACTGCAATACATTACAGTTATATATAAACAAAATAATTAAAAAAATACAACAACAATAACAAAGACTAAATTTCTTGCTAAACGTATGACATTTTTATTGCTGTCAAATAATTTTCCTCAACATTCTGTTGTTTCTTCCATAGTCACAGCTTCATTATCATAGTCAGTTGCTGCAAGGAAAAAAAAAAAATAGCCAGAACCCCCATGGACTTCAACCAACAAAGACCATCAGGATTTTTACCTTTTGAAAAATTTGGTATGGCAAAGCTGAGCATGAGACACAGCCAACTGCTTTCAGCCTTTGATAAGCATAAGCTCCCGTTACCATCTTATTGTTCTCAATTAAATATTTTACTAGGTGGAAAAAAAATGTTTTAGTGGCAAGAAACTATGTCAGCTGTTAACTTCAAGTCAGTGGATCACTTACAAGCTTTAAAGTGTCATAACATGCCTCAACAATTTTCAAGGAATTTAGTTTTATCACTGGGGATATAGGAAAAGGCCTCATTGCCCCTGCCTAAGAGTTCCAAGTGACTTGACATGAGAAAAGGTGTTCCATGAATAACAATTATTAGTACTTGAATGCTAATAATGTAATAATTATTGCAGAAAACTAGCTCAGCACCAGAATATTTTTTTTTGTACTTTTCTAAACAGTGCTTCTGCACATGTTACTTTCTAACCCATATGCGTGACAGATACGTTGCTACAGAAAATGTAGAATATTATTTGTTCTCCATTACCCTTATGTGGAGTTAGGAGAATTGTAACTTAGCTGGATTTCTACTGAACTGATCCATAAAGCATGAATTCACATCCTCATCTCCCATATGTTATAGTGTAAGAAACAGCATGAAAAAAGCAGTAAGATGTAGAAAACATTTTACACTGTAGTTCAACCCAGGATATTTAATTTATAAAATAATAATTATAATAAAATTATTTATACTTAATAATCTATACATTATTATTATATAAATAATATATAATAATATAATATATATAATATATAGTAATATATAATATAAATATATAATATAAATATATAATATTACTTTTAATTAATATTATATGAATAATATTAACTAATAACCTATAGATTGAAATATAGTACATCTCTGGCTCCCACTTATCCTTGTTCTTATAGAGGCCCTCATAGAACTCCTGCAGGCCAGCAAAACCTCTTTGCAAAGGCCGTGCTCACTCCTTCCCAACAGGTCATGTTCATGTACACACTGACCAAATTCTTTATTACAAACTTCAGCATTTACCAGACATGGGCATCAGACCCATTGGTCAGTAGCTGCCCAGATCCCTCCACAGCACAATCTGCCGATGGGTCATATCTCACTCTGCTCTGCTGTGAGCAATGGCAGGATGCATGCTGTAGACAGTCATTCTGACATTGTGCATCAGAGTTCCTTCAGTGTTGCCAGAATGACATGTGGTCCTGAAACTTATTAACAACCAGTTTAACTATTTTGCCTAAGATTTGTTGTAGATTTACCTCAAATTCACCTAGCTCCCCTGACCTACCTGCTATAATGAACCTGCTGCATACAGGAATCTTCAAGCAACGAAGTCTGCATGCTGCTCTGCTACAGCTGTATCAGCCATGTCTCTTTTAAACTGTCATCAGGCAGGTACACCAATTCCCTGACTTTACATCTATTTAAATGTTTTTCAGATGTTTTAAGGGACCAATCATTTCAGTCTTCTGTACTGACATATTATAGAAAATTATATACAATTTTACTTAAAAGAAAATGGTGAGTTTAGTAAACTTATATTCTAACTAAACTATTATTATAATGGCTTGCAATTTTCCTATGATTTGGCAATGAATTCCCATCTCACACATGCAGTTAATATCTGAATCTGGTTGCAAAATTGTATTGCTGCTACAAAGAAAGAAGTATTCCAGCGAATGTATTCAAGTTCCTCTTTGTTAACACTGTAGTAATTAAAGGCAGAATTTATCTCTGCACACTATTTTAAACAAACATTACATATAATCACAGATATCTCTATAAGACATATTTTTAATGAATAAGAAGAAAGCCTACAAGAAAAATAAATGAATAAATATTAGTTTTACTTCTCTTATCAAAGAAAAATTAATTAGAATCCATAACTAACAGTACAAGTTGTCACACAACATCCTTCTATTTCCCACAATTGCTTCCTGGATTCCTTCTTTGTATTTGAACTGTCAAGTACTAAAAATATTGTTTCCTAGTTGTGGTCTGCCAGGAAAGAAAGATAATAAGAAAAAAATAGACTAAACGGCTTAGATGATGGAATGATGTACTTTTGTCTGCCAGGATATTTTTTTTCTCCCAAATTCACCAAGCTATGACTTCTACTGACATTTTCAATTTAAAATAGAAATAAACTCTCTCTGGATTGCAGGAAGACTGCATTTGAAGGATCTGATGTTCAGAGTCTCTCCTAAATCATGAAAAAACTGCAATCTCTTGGGACAGATATAATCATGAATAAATTCTGTACCCATCATAAGTTACTTCAAATAGCTAGTTTCCCCATTCAAGATACGAAATTTTATTTCTACCATCTTAATTAAAAAATGATCTTAAAATTACTTTGAAAATATGATTATAAATCTCAGATTATCTCTGATCATTCTGCCTTTTCTGTTTATCTCTTTAATTTTTATAAGTACAAATACTCAATACAATACTGAAAGATTACACCAGCCTGGATCCAAGAAAACCTGGAAAAGTAGCTAAAGAGTAAATATTTTGCTAGCTTAAACAATCACATCTTAGAAACCTGTTACTCCACCTGGACAGTCACAAATCCATGAGGCCAGATGGGATCCACCTGATGGTGCTGAGAGAGCTGTCTCAGCTGATTGCAAAGCTGCTTTTCATCACCTATCTCTGGTCATGGTCAACCAGAGAGGTCCCAGATCACTGGAGAGTTGCTAATGGGGTGTCCGTCTATAAGAAGGGTCATAAGGAGGATCTGGTGAACTACAGGCAAGTTGGCTTGACCTCAGTGCCAGAGAAGGTGATGGAATAGGTCATCTTGAGTGCAATCACACAGCATGTGCAGGACAACCAGGGAATCAGTCGGGCCTTGTCAGCATGGGTTCATG